GCTTGAGCCCAGGATGTTGGAGGTTGCTGTGAGCTGTGATACTACAGCACTGTACCCAAGGGGATAGCTTGAGGCTCTGTCTCAAAAAAAAAAAACAAACAAAAAACTTGTTTCTATGGGAAAAAGAAAAAGTTGACTGGGAGCCTGAAGTACAGTTATGGTTATGGTTATGGCGCCAGCCACATAACCTGGGGTGGCAGGTTCAAACCCTGCCTGGGCCAGCTAAACAACTGCAACAAAAAAATAGCTGGGCATGGGCAGTGCCTGTGGCTCAGTGAGTAGGGCCCTGGCCCCATATACCCAGGGTGGCAGGTTCCAACCCAGCCCCTGCCAAAGTACAACAAAAAAATAGCCAGGCATTGTGGCAGGCACCTGTAGTCCCTCCCAGCTGCTCTGGAGACTGAGGCAAGAGAATCACCTAAGCCCAAGAGCTGGAGGTTGCTGTGAGCTGTGACACCACAGCACTCTACAAGGGCCACGAAGTGAGACTCTGTCTCCAAAAAAAAAAAAAAAAAAAAGCTGGGTGTTGTGGCGGGCTCCTATAGTCCCAGCTACTTAGGAGGCTGAGGCAAGTAAATTGCTTAAGCCCAAGAGTTTGAGGTTGCTGTGAGCTGTGATGCCAGAACACTCTACCAAGGACGACATAGTGAGACTGTCTCAAAAATAAAAAAAGTTAACCACACATGGTGACATGAGCCTTTTCAACTACTCCAGAGGCTGACGCAGGATTGCTCAAGCCCAGCAGTTTCAGACTGGATAAACTATAATGACACCACTAAACTCTAGCCAGAGTGACTGAGCAAGACCCTATCTCAAAACCAAAAAAGGTGTTCTTAACATAGAGTCGTACAATCATTGCCATAATCAAATTTTCAAACATTATCATCACCCCAAAAAAGAAATCTTGTGTCCATTATCATCACCCCCCACATCCACACTTCTTAGGCCACCACTCATCTAGTTTCTGTCTCTTATAGATCTGCCTATTTTGACAAAATAAAAACGGAATCATACAATATGTGTCTGGCTTCTACTTAGAATAATCTTTTCAAGGTTCACCTATGTTGTAATATATATCAATACTTAATTCTTTCATGTTATCTATCCATTGGTTGATGGCTAAGCTGGTTGTTTCTACTTTTTATTTTTGGTTATTATGAATAATGCTTTTTTGAACGGTGGTTTGCAAACTTTCATATGGACATATGTCTTCACTTCTCTTAGATGGATATATAGGATTGGAATTGCTGGGTCATATGGAAACTCCACGTTTAACCCTTTGAGGAACTGCTGAACTATCCTTCCAAGTGCCCCATTGTACATTCCTGCCACCAGTATATGAGGGCTCCAATTTCTCCACATCCTGGTTGACACTTGTCTCTTTGATTATAGCTTTCTTAGTGAATGTTAAGTGGTACCTCATTGAGGTTTTAATTTGCATTTCTCTGATGACTAATGAAGTTGAGCACACCAAGATTAAGAAAAAAATATCATCCCTGAAAGGATACGAAGAACGAGGAGACTAAAATCTCAGTGGGAAAATGACTTCCTTCCTACCATGTAACTTTTACATACTATTTGGATTTTTTTATCCTGTGAATCTATTAAATTTAAATAAATTCAGGTCTTCCTTCTGGGGGGAAGGGGTTCATGAAAAGACGTGGTATCCATAAGTCCCTGGAATGCATATACAGAATTGTCTAAATTGTGTCGTAAGGATGTATGTATTTACACCTTGCTGAGCAGAGACAGTCTGTGCTTTCATCACATTTTCAGAAGGATTCACTGATTTCTCCAAAAATATATGAAGCCCTTGTCTGGAAATTCAAGTACATCTGGATAACCAGTACCCTACAGGTGTTAGTCTTCCATTGCTCAAACAACCTTGGAAACATCGTGCTCCTGAATATAAGCTGTTCACCACATGCTGGGTCCTGTTTGGAGCACAGGATATACATTCTCTTCACAGATACCAGAGTTTTAGACAGGGCTGTCTGTACAGATGCCCTTGCTAGGGGGCTGCTAAATGCTTTTACAGGCAGACCTGCCCCTGACAACAACCCTACCAGACAGGTACTTTTTATTCTTCCCATTTGTATAGAGAGGAAACAGAGGCTCAGAGTAACTCCCTAACTCAGCCTAAGGTCACCAGCTTTTAACAGCCACAGTCAGAGCTGGGCCCTAGTTCTCAGCCACATCGCTATTTCCCTCTCATGGATAAGGAACACCTTCTCTAAACAAATTCATCTGGACCAAAAACTAATTACAATACAAGGCAGCTATTGAGTTTACAAACATTTTTATTTTATAAAAAAAAAAAGAAAAGAAAAGAAAACACCATATTAGAATTATTTTAAATATGACATTTCTCCCAGTGAATTTTAAATAGTATGTTTCACAAAAATATTTGCAACATGACTTTTCAGAAATACACCCACTGCATAAACATTAAGTACATGGCAGAAATACACATTTAAGACATTTTACTTATTTTGTAAAACAGGACAGGTGAATTTTTCCACGGATTAATACTTCCACAGCCACTGTCTCACCTGTTCCTCCCAACAGCCCAGGGAAGGAACATGAACAGGTGTTACTTTACTTACAAGGAAACTGAGGTCCCAGACATTGAATGATTGACTTAATTAGCAGCAGCGGCAGCAGTCGTGAAACATATTCTCCTGATTGTTCATCCAGCCATAAATAACACACATTCTCAAGATAAAAGCCCCATCAAATACTAGCATTAAGGCTGACGCAGGTGGACTGCTTGAGCTCAGGAGTTCAAGACCAGCCTGAGTAAGAGCAAGACCCTATCTCTAAAAAGACAGCCAGACATTGTGGTGGGCACCTGTAGTTCCAGCTACTGGAGAGCCTAAGACAAGAGAATCACTTGAGGCCAGGCATGTGAGGTTGCTGTGAGCTATGACACCATGGCACTCAACCCCAGGGCAACTGAATAAGACTGTCTCAAAAAAAAAAAAAAAAAAACAACTAGCATTAGTGGGATGGGAGGATAAAGGTGCTGGCAGGTACTTCTGTGATTTCCAAAAGAGGAAGTAGAAAACCTAGAGAGCCCTTTGCCAGGTATCTGGCATTTGTAAAACTTGAGACCTGAAGAAGTGAAGTCAAGAACATCACCAGGGATGTGGTGGCTCATGCCTATAATCCTAGCACTCTGGGAGGCCAAGGCAGAGGATCACTTGCACTCAGGAGTTCAAGACCAGCTTTAGCAACCCCATCTGTACTAAAAATTGAAAAATTAGCCAGGCATCGTAGCAAGCACCTGTATAGTCCCAGCTTCTTGGGAGGCTGAGGCAGAAGGATTAAGCCCAGGAGTCTGAGGTTGTTGTGATGCCACATCACTCTAGCCTGGGGCAACACAGTGAGACTGTCTCAAAAAAAAAAAAAAGTTCCAATGAAAGAACTCCACTGGAACTCAAGTTGAAAATTGTTCAGAGTATGGAAGTCTGCAGGTGGCTGTCCGCAGGTATGACCCAGAGATTGTAAGTTTGGAAAATACCATTGGCACTGCAAAATGCTGTCAGTTATCAGGGTGGCGGGACAAGAACTCCTGGGGTAACAGCATCTGCTGTGGAGGGTTACTGTTACATACTCCCCGGAACCACAAAATCATCCACGCTGTAGGCCCGTGAACCAGTTTCTGCTTCAGTTTCCTCTCATACCTGGCTCTGACCAATAAGAGAACTTGTCAATTTTTGTGTCTCTAAAAGCTGAGGTCCCTTCTCCTCTAACTCGTTCTGGGAAATGAAAGTTTCCCTCTGTCCAGAATAGCTGATGTTTGGTTGTGAGTTTCCTGCCAGATCTTGGCTTGTGCCTCAGACCTTCTTGATCCGATGCTCGTCTTTCCAATTAAGGACAAGGGTCCTCAGCTGTGTTCCACTCATCACAGGCCAAAAAGCTCGAAACTGTCCAGTTTCTCCTCTTTGTACAGCAGAATATTCTCCATCAGTTTCCTTTTGGCCTCATTGATCTCAATTTTCCATGAAGTATCTTTAGCTTTAGCTGATGTTCAACAGAAAGTAAAAATGAGTGATTTGAGCAAAAGTTACTGTTATAATTCTTAGACTCACTTAAATAAGGTTTCTGAATCACACCCAGTGAAATGATGAGCATTTTTATCTCCCCTGCCTTTGCAGAGAAGCCCTGCAAACCGGCTCCCATGCTTCTCTGCATGGTGGGGCGAATACGTTTCACAACCCGTCTCTCTCCTTCCTCCCCATGCAGGAGAGCCAGACCCTGGGACATTTATCAAACCATGTTTACTAGGGGACAGGGGCGCTTCATTGGAAAGGTCTTCCTAAATTTTATTTAACAAGGAAATCTGGTGTATTTGCACCTGAGTGCAGAAATGAAAGATATCTTTAGGAGTGGTTGGCAAGGATAGGGTCTGTGCTGTGAAGTGAGGATGAAGAGGTGGGCAGGCACAGACCACACAGGACCCTGACTTGATCCCTAAAAGCAATGAAGACTTCAAACAAGGGGTGGCATGCACTGTGTTTTTAAAAAGCCACTTGGGCTGGCTCCTGGACAAATTGCTGGTGAGGAAGGGGTTAGGGTGGATGGAGGAGGCAGAGAGATTATACAGTTATCCCAGCAAATGGCCAGGAGCTCAGATAAGGACACAAAGCAGAGGGAGAGGGAGGTGAGAAAGATTTGGGAGGCAAATGGATGGGACTGGGTGACTGAGTAGATATGGAGGACAGGGAAGAGAGGAAGGTGTCACAGACGACTCGCAGGTCTCTTGTTGTACAATCAGCTATTGGGGAATGGCTGAATAACAAAATGACAGTGGATGAAGGCATCAGGAAGAATAAATGGAATAAATGATGGGCTGAAGTTAGGAACACACACGTGGGCATGTAGAAGCACTCTGACCTCCACGGCTTACCATCCTGGGGAGGCTCCGGACCGGCAGAGGCCACGTAGAACGAATCAGCCTGCGGCCTTCCTTCCTCATTTTCTGTGGGGAGAAACGAGGCAGCAACTCCTGCCCACGACGCTACCCCCACAGAGGAAGAGGCATCAAGGCTGGAATTGTCGACGTCATCTGTTTCCTCTGGGGTGTTGGAGGAAGAGCCTGTGCCCTCAGAAAGTCCACACCATGAGTGTGATGTCTCCTGACCGCGGAGCCGCTCTTCCACAACAGCCACAGAGCCACGCACCTTGGGGAAGAAAGGGACAAGAATGCTCATCAGGAACTCCCCCTGAAATTAAAAATCTAATGTCTGGTCTCCCAGGCCACAGAAGAAAGAGAGACAGATGGACACTAAAGAATCAAACGCTAGGGCAGTGCCTGTGGCTCAAGGAGTAGGGCAATGGCCCCATATACCATGGGTGGTAGGTTCAAGCCCAGCCCCAGCCAAAACTGGAAAAAAAAAAAAAAAAAGAATCACAAATGCAATCAGTGAAACAAACAAAAAAAAATCACAAATGCAATCAGTGAAACCTGGTTTCTTGTACCCTCAATGAATCCCCAACAATAAATTAAAAAAAAAAAAAGCACTGGGGAAAAAAATCAAATTCTGGGTGCTTTGGAAAAACAGAATCCTTTCATTGAAAAGATCTGGGCTCGGCGCCTGTGGCTCAAGTGGCTAAGGTGCCAGCCACATACACCTAAGGTGGCAGGTTCGAATCCAGCCTGGGCCCACCAAACAACAATGATGGCTGCAACCAAAAAAAAATAAAATAGCCAGGCGTTGTGGTGGGTGCCTGTGGTCCCAGTTACTTGGGAGGCGGAGGCAGATGACTTGCTTGAGCCTAGGAGTTGGAGGTTGCTGTGAGCTGTGATGCCACAGTACTCTACCCAGGGGGACAGCTTGAGACTCTGTCTCCAAAAAAAGAAAAGAAAAGATCTGAACTTGCCCCCCACCCAGCTGGACCACAGATGAGATTACATGACCCCAGATGGGCCAATCATAGAACCCCATTCCTCTGACCATAATGATTAGTCCAGGTTTGGGCACGTGACCCAAGCAGACCAATCAAAATTCTTCCCTAGGATTTTTCTACCTAGAGCTTATTGAGCAAAGAACCCCCTTTTCTTTCTAGTGGCAGAACCAGACTCCCTACCATACACAGAAAATCCATTTACAGTAGGACAAAATGAAGCCTCCACACAGAGTAAAACAGAGGCAGGCAGTGGAGAGAAAGCCACAGACACAGAGACAGATAGCTGAACATTTGGTGTTTGAAACCCTGAGTCTAACTTCCCTGAAACCAGAGTGTTGTCTGTCCTCTCTACTGTTTGGTTATATGACTCACTAAATTCATGTACTCATTAGTTGACTGACTCGTATTCTCCCTTCCTATGTCAGTGTGTGTGTGTGTGTCTAAGAGTTTGAGTTGAGTTTCTCACACTTTCAGCTACAAATGCACCAAGTAATATATGTTCCCTTTGATGGCTTTTCTTGGTTGGCAAGTTAGGAAAAATTAGAGGAAAATAGGGAAGAAATGTTTCTTCTTTACACACACACACACATACAGGACATACATATGCTTAATAACAAACCTCCTTTCCTCAGTAACTTACAAAAAATTCAGTATAAATTTATACATTTCACACACAATGCACCATGAGTTTTGTTTTGTTTTGCTTTTTCAAGACAGGGTCTCGGCTCGGCGCCTATAGCTCAACCGGCTAAGGCGCCAGCCACATACACCTAAGGTGGAGGGTTCGAATCCCCAGCCCGGACCCGCCAAACAACAATGACAGCTGCAACAAAAAAATGGCCGGGGGTTGTGGCGGGCGCCTGTGGTCCCAGCTATTGGGAGGCGGAGGCAGGAGACTCGCTTGAGCCCAGGAGTTGGAGGTTGCTGTGAGCTGTAATGCCACGGCACTCTACCCAGGGGGACAGCTTGAGGCTCTGTCTCAAAAAAAAAAAAAAAAAAAAGACAGGGTCTCACTCTGTCATCTGGGCTGTGTACAGTGGTGTGATCATAGCTCACTGCAATCTCAAACTTCTAGCCTCAAGTGACCCTCCCGTATTTCAGTCCCCTGAGTATACAGCAGATGCCACCATATCTGGCTAATTTTTTTCATTTTTTTGTAGAGATGGGATCTTGCTACATTGCTCAGACTGGTCTCAAACTCCTAGCCTCAAGCAATCCTCCTACCTCAGCCTCCCAAAGTGATGGGACTATAAGCAAGAGACACCACTCTCAGGCCAACAATGAGTTTTTACAGATAAAAAATTAAACAATTAGGCTCACCACCCCTAGCACAGTGGTTACAGGGCCTGCCACATACATCAAGGCTGGCAGCTTCAAACCCGGCCCAGGACAACCAAACAACTGCAACAGAAAAAATAGCCAGGTGTTGTGGCAGCTACTTGGGAGGCTGAGGCAGGAGAATCACTTACGCCCAAGAATTTGAGGTTGCTGCGAGCTGTAACGCTATGGCACTCTACCCAGAGCAACATAGTGAGATTCTATCTCAAAAATAAATAAATAAATAAAATTAAAAGATTTGAGAGGTTAAGTTCCTTTCCTAAAGCCACCCAGCCAATTAGTGGCAGAGAGGACCACTGAACCCAGGCCTGCTTGTCTTCCAGTTCATGACACAGTGGTTTCATCTTCCTAACTTGGTTATAATGTACTAGGGGCAAAGACCATTTCTTGTCCTATCCCCTTTATTTATTTATTTATTTATTTATTGAGACAGAGTCTCACTATGTGGCCCTGGTTAGAGTGCCATGCCGTCACAGCTCACAGCAACCTCAAACTCTTGGGCTTAAGTGATTCTCCTGCCTCAGCCTCCCAAGTAGCTGTGACTACAGTTAACTGCCACAATGTCTGGCTATTTTTTGGTTGCAGTGGTCATTGTTGTTTGGAAGGCCCAGGCCAAATTCGAACCCGCCAGCTCCAGTGTATGTGGCTGGCACCCTCGCCACTGAGCTACAAGCGCTGAGCCTATCCCCTTTATTATATATGGCAAATGTCTCCTCATTCTTCATGGCCAAGTTCAAATGTCACCTCTCTTGAGATAAATCTTCATGACAGACATCCAGTAAATATTTGCTAAGAAAGATTACTTTCCCAGTGGCACCCACAGCTCAGTGGGTAGGGCGCTGCCCACATATACCGAGGCTGGCAGGTTCGAACCCAGCCCAGGTCAGCTAAAACAATGACCTGCAAGAAAAAAATAGCCGGGGCTCAGTGCCTGTAGTTCAAGCGGCTAAGGCTCCAGCCATATACACCAGAGCTGGCGGGTTTGAATCTAGCCTGGGCCTGCCAAACAACAATGACAACTACAACCAAAAAATAGCCTGGCACTGTGGCAGGTGCCTGTACTCCCAGCTACTAGGGAGACTGAGACAAGAGAATCACATAAGCCCAAGAGTTTGAGGTTGCTATGAGCTGTGATGCCACAGCACTCTACCAAGGGCGACATAGTGAGACTCTGTCTCAAAAAATAAAAAAATAAAGATTACATTCCCTTGTAGCAAGGTGTGGCCATGTAACTACGTTCTGGTATACATCGTGTAAGGAAGTGACAGATGCATTTCCAGGTCACACCTTTAATAGGAAAGTAGGTGTGTCCTCCTCTTTCCTTTAACCCTCTTTACTAGCTGGAATGCAGACGTGATGACCTGAGCTAGTGCAGCCATATTGAACTCTGAAATAGAAGACATATGGTGCAACAGCAAAGCAGCAATATAGAAGGGGTTCCCAACGCTGTGGGATGGCCACATCGTCATCAAACTACCCACGTTCAAACTTTAAAGCAAAAGAAAATAAATTTCTATCTTATCTAAACCTCTATATTTTGGAGTCTCCTCACTACAGTAGCTTTACCTCTACCTTATCTGATACACCAAACAAATAAATGGAATTAATAAAAGGATGAAAGTTTGAATGAAAGAATAAATGGTTAAGGGAAAGCTTTGTAAAATATAAATCTGATTATGTCCTATCCCTGCTTAAAACCCTTAGTGACTCCCAGAAGTACTTACTGTGCCTACAAAGCCCTCTACCACTCGGCTCTCTGTTCCTCACCACACTCATCACAAGCTGCTCTGGCCCACATCTCTTATGCTCTAGCCACTCTGACCTTCCAGACCCTTGAACACGTCATGCTCTCTAACCTTCGCCCATTTACAGGAGCTAGTGCTTTTGCTTGCATTGCTCTTTGTTGGCTTAAATGTCACTTCCTTGGGATGGTTCAGGGTAGGGCCCTCATTATCCACCATCCTGGCATTCACCACACAGATAATTACTGCACAGTGTCCATGAGCTCCAGGAAAGTGGGACTGGGTCTGCCTTGTTCACCTACAGATTTATCCTCCGGACCTAGCTCAGTACTGCTGAGGGAATGACTCTACACCATGGCACTCAGGCACTTCAGGGACACTTGTGCCAGCCCAGATTTGGAACAATGACTCGGGCTCCCAGCTCCTGCCTCATGAGCACAAGATGGCAGACACGGGGCTGACCTGGTACTCCCAAGAGCTCTGCCAGAAACTCAGTCTGTGGCCTCCTCTTCTCTCTGGGCCTTCACTTCCCCATCTGTAAAATGGAAGGCCTAGGCTGGAGCAGTGATTTTTGAGGATTTTTTTCATCTACCAAACCTCTTCCTCAAATGAAGAGGAGCAAATTAATTATGAGAGTGAAAGTGGATAGACTCTGGTTAGAGTCATAGGTGGGGGCCTGCAGCGCCCCCAAGCCCCTCTTGCTGCCAACATCAACTCCTGGGTACTCCCAAAGGGGCCCCTCCCTGCCAGACACCACGGGAAAATCACTCAGCTAGATGACCTCAAAGGGCCCGCTCAGGCAGTGGTGATTTTGTCCTTAGCTAGACATAGCAGTTGTCCCCAGATTTACACATTTTACCGTGGAAACCAGCTCTATTGCTCATGTCTGTAAGAATATGTTTTAGCCCCTACCCTGGCTGCTTTCGGGAAGTCTACCTCGCCCATGGGCTGCACATGCTCCCTCTCACTAGGACTTAGCCCCGTCACTACCCAGGAATAGGGACCTAGCCACCAGGTTTATCTACTGGACCCACGCCCCCTTACCTGGGTAGACACCTGACCCACATTAGATCTCTCAGATTCTCCCTGAGAAGTCAGAATTAGGATATAGAAACTTGGTCTTTCAGTGAGGGTAGAACTATAACGTGCAAATGGAGGTGGCTATGTTCTCTCACCAAGAGAACAGAGGAAAAGGGAAAGGGGCCCACAGGGAGAAGGAAAAGGAGGAAGCAGACCAGAGCGAGCAGTCAGAGTTCTGTTTTTTGTTTTTTTTTTTGAGACAGAGCCTCAAGCTGTCACCCTGGGTAGAGTGCCGTTGCATCACAGCTCACAGCAACCTCCAACTCCTGGACTCAAGTGAGTCTCCTGCCTCCACCTCCCAAGTAGCTGGGACCACAGGCGCCCACCACAATGCTGGGCTATTTTTTGGTTGCAGCCGTCATTGTTGTTTGGCGGGCCCGGGATGGATTCAAACCCGCCACCTTAGGTGTATGTGGCTGGTGCCTTAGGAACTTGAGCCACAGGCACTGAGCCAATAAATAAACTTTTAAGTTCACTTACTAACTTTTGATGATTTAAAGACAAAAGGGAGAAAAATCACAGTAGGTTACATACATTTCTCATTATTCATAGACAAATCATACCAATTCCTTGGCGGTAACTTTGTTCCTAGCAAAGCTTTAAAAGAAATTTTTTTTTTTTTGTGGAATATTATAGAGCAGACAGAGTTGTAACAAAAAAATATCTTTTACATCCCCATAATAGATACAAGCTTTCAATGTCAGTTCTTCAGGAAAAGCCATGTAAGAATTCCAGTACAAGTCTAAATCCTAAATTATAACCCTGTCTGTATTAGATACGG